CACCTATCACCAGAATTGTAATTATAGTAAACTTCTTGTACATGGAAGAACTGGAGAAAGGTCTCCAATGAAAAGGACAATAATCTCTGTTCTCAATTATTCATTGTTTTATATTGAGTGAATGGTGATCTTTCTTTTTCTAAATTGACGAATTTTTGTACTTACAATTAGTTTTTATCCAACAACCTATACAATGTTGATATACTAACTTTTAATTTTATGATATTTACAAAAATAAATATAAAAAAAAAATAAAATAAAATTAATCATTTCACTGTTTTAGGAAACTGATATTATTTTGAATTAGTAATTAATTATAATTGAGATAAAATAACTATAATAGACCGTTTCATAATAATAAAAAAAATTTAAATATGTTTGATACAATTAATGAAATCTCTCTTACATCGAAATCATAAATGAAACTCTTTTTTTTAAAAAAAAAAAAAAAAAAAAAGTTAAGGAAAAGTATAACAAGAAAAACTAATTTTTTTCTTTTTTCTTTTTTCTTTTTGCTACTCTTATTGTTCTGTCTCAATTAAACAATTTACTACCTAATTAGCACCACATGAAGGGAAAAAAAAAAAAATTGAAAGATAAAATGTTAAGGGAGAATATCAAGAAAAACTCTTAATTTTTTTTTTTTTTTTAAATTTTATGATTGCTAATTTTATTTTTCTCAATCAATTAAACACGTCTTCACATCGTAAAGGAATTTACTACCTAATTAGCACCACAAGAAATTTTTTTTTTAAAGAGAAAAGTTAAGGAAGAGTATAACAAGATTTTTTTATTTTTGTTTGCGTTTGCTATTTACACTCTTATATTAAACACATCTTCACATCCTAGAGGAATTTACCTAATTACTAATTAGCACCGCCTGAAAACTTTTTTCTGAAAGATAAAAAGTTAAGGAAAAGTATAAAAAGAAGAACCTTTTTTTTTTGGGCTGAATGTGAAGAAGTGTTTTTTTTTTTTGCTAATCTTATTTTTCTCTATGAAGGCGTGTTTAATCGATAGAAAAAAAAATAGAAATAGCAACAAAAAAAAAAAGTATTTGTTGTTATACTATTTCTTAACTTTTTTTTGAAATTTTATCTTTCAAAAAAAAGTTTTCATATATGATTCTAAGGAAGAGATAACAAAATTGATTTTTTTTTTTCTTTTATAAAACTATCTATTATAGTCCTTTTACCTTAATTATAATTAATTACTAATTTAAATAATATCAGTTTTTTAAAACAGTACAATGATTAAACTAAGGAGAATAGTGATGATCTACAGATGTGGACTAATAATATATGAATACATCCTCTTTTAATTATCAAATTAAATTTGATAATTAACCACCACATCTGATTTAATAAGTAAATATATATCCCATCAATTTTTATTTGATAATTAAAGATGACGTGTTTATGTCTTATTGGTCAAAATCAATAGTCAGAATGGTGTAATTAACCATCATATCGGATTTGATAAGTGAATATATATCCCACCAATTTTTATTTAATAATTAAAAATGACGTGCTTATGTCTTATTAGTCAAAATTAATAATCAGAATGGTGAGTATATCTCTTAAACTAATATTATAGCTCGTTAGCCAACTTTCCTGCTTGTTATAAATCAAATGGTCAGCATGAGAGAATTATTGGTCAGTGACGTATCGCTCAATTCGTAATATTTTTTTAAGAGTTCGATACCATTATATATTTTTATGAATCGATTAATTCGATTGTTATATATTGATATTTGTTCAAATCCATTATACTGGAACCCTCTTTACCACTGTCAACCGTGATTGATGCTATTAATTAACAAACACTCTCCTCGGTCACATGGATAGCCAATCATATGATGAGGAAGTGGGCAGACCGACACGTGTGTGGACAGATATAAACTAGAATACACTAGGGTGGCGCCACGTGGAGATGCAGCAGACATTTTTTACTGTAGAGAAATGGGTAGGGAACCAACCCACATGTGCTTTGGCAAATGGCTTCTACGTGCAAAACTACTTTTGAATGGGTCACTCAGCTTCACGCGCTTCATGGAGCGTTTAGAACACCCTTGGACGTAAGAAAGTTTAAAGAATAGGAGAAAGAAAAGTTAAAATATACCCTACTGTCGCACAGAAAGAATGTCCAGTTTGAAGAACTTAGACTCACAAATTATTCATTGCATTAAATATATATAGGACATCCAATTTATTCTAGGAGTGTTTAAAAAATTCAATAAATCAAAAAATCGGATAGGATCGAACTAAATTGGACTAGTTATATAACAGTTTGGTTCGATTCTAAACCCAAAATTATGAAGCCGTAACTATCAGTCTGGTCTTGGTTTAAGGTCCTGCTAGACTGGACTGGTCCGGACCGAACCGTTACAATATTATATATATAAATCATATTCTAAACCTAAATCAAATAAAATTTTCACGTCTCATGTGCTCTCAAAATTATCTTAACTTTCTTTTAAAAAAAGTCAAATTTCACTTAAATTCCTTAAATTTTTTTTAAAAAAAAAGTCAAATTTCCTTTTTGCGAATCATATCTCAATTTTCTTTCCTTTCAAATACATCTCAAATTTTCTTTCCTTTTTTTCTTCTTAAAATTCTTCTTTTTGGCGTGTTATTATATCAATGTTAGTTGATTTTATTTTTTATTTTTTATTTTTAAACTTTGCCCCTCTAAATTAAAATCCTAGCTTCGCTCCTGGCTGTCATGAAACCTTATATATCGAGAAAAATAAGAAATTTTGTTTTTAAAAATAAAATAAAAAGGAAACCTAATTAAACCGACAAACCGAACCGAACCAAACTAGTTTTTGGTGGTTCAATTTGGTTTGGTTCCATGGACATTATGGTTCGGTTTGGTTTCAAAAATAGTAGAACTGTTATAAATGGTTTGGTCCTAAAAAACTTTCAATTCGATCCAAATCTGACAGTGTGCATCCCTAATTTATTCATTGCATTAAAAGAATAAAAATCCTTTGAATTTGGATATCGCCCAAATATTATGTTAAAAAAGTAATAATAAAATGCTTCAATATTGAGAAGAAATGGGTGTGTTTTTTTTAAAAAAAGAATTCAATAATTTTACTATTCTTTTGAATGTATCAAAATTTTAAAAGTAAATAAAAATATTAATGATATTTAGGTTTGTGTACTTATTTTCAATCCTTTTCTTCCCTTCAATTTCTATCTTCAACTAGGCCACTCGGGGCACAAAAATTCTTGTTAGACCGGCTTATTAAGACCTGATTTTGGATTTGTTTGGCATTTACATGGCAAATGTTGTCATGAGAGAGATCTCTTAGGACTTAAGAACATTACTCTTATAAATGATTCATTTGAATTTTCATATAGTTCAAAAAATTGATAATTAAATATGGAGAACATGCCTCTTCTCACGAGGGAGGGAATTCTCTGGAGAGCATACTCTTTCAGATATGATTTTCATGTTTTGTATTCATTATCTATTATTAAAGATAGATTTTTTTTTTTTTTCGGGATATTTTTATCATTAATTTTTTTTTTCTACATAAACCTCTTGTATTTACTTTGTTTCTATAAAATAGTGACCAATCAATCCAGCTTTACATAATTGCAACATGCAATTACCTTGTTCAGCATTTCCTTTTGGAACCAATAAATTGAGTCATTTGTACTTGATATAAACTCAGTTTTAATTCATTCTTCAGCATTTCCTTTTGGAACCAATAACATATTTATGGAATATTTAAAAATAAAATGCATAACAAAAATGTAAAATAGAGTTACACCGAACCAAAAGACTACTAGATCCTTGTGGCTTAGTGATATTTTTTTTATTTTATAAAGTGGATGATGAGGGGTTTTAAGTGGTAAAGAGCTTACTTTGGATGAAATGTGTAGATACATATATATATATACACACACACATTTGAGAAAGTGAATGATTGTACCCACAAGGTGGTTGCAAGCCGCGACGAAAAAATTTGGCGACAATCCACGATGAATGATTTATGTGGAGGAGGTTGGTGAATATGAAAATTGAAGTGGCTCTGCTTGCATGACGGCTAGAAATGGAGCAACGGCGGAGGCAAACAGAGGAACCACCAAAATCGGATGGCTCACCCAGAGGAAGTTGATGAAGAAGAGTCTTGAAGAGCTTTCTTTCACTTGGCACCAAAAATCACACGTGTGGTTAATAATGCTATATTTGAATGTCTGCAAAAAACTAATATTCAATTTACGGGTAAAATAGACATTTCTCTCTCTCTTTTTGACTTTGTTTGAATTCAATTTTTGATTAGGAGTGTCATTGTTTGAATCGGATGGCTCCGACAAAGGAGGTTGACGAAGAAGAGATTTGAAGAGCTGTCTTTTTTATCTGACGCCAAAAACCACACATGTGGTTAATAATACTATACTTGAATGTTCTTATATTTTCCATCAGGAAATTAATATTTTAATTGAGGGCAAAGTAGACATTCATTTCTCTCTTTCTTTCCATTTTTATTTTATTTATTTTATTTTTTTTGTGACAATCCATTTCTGGTAATGCCATTGTTATTCGTATATGACCGCAACTATAATTAATTTTTTTTTTTCTCATAAATAAACTAATTCTATAATATATGTATATATTTATATTTTAATTGGACTCTCTTTTATATTTGCTACCTTCACTTACAAAAGACTCCAAAATTTAAGTTTGGTGAATTAGAATCTCCACAACTAAAAACCTGTTTTTTTTATTAGGCACTTAAATTACCCTCAAAAGAACAACTAAGCATAACAATGCCAAACTGGAACTTAAATTATCTTTTAAAATAAGACAATTAAGCCTAACATGCCAAACTGGCATTTAAATTACCCTAAAATAAGACAATTAAGCATACCAATGCCAAGCTGGCACTTTAAATACACCTCAAAACAACAATTAAGCTCACTTTGTAGGGAAGTTCATCAAACGAACATCAGGAGAGCGTGGGATGCGCAGATATAACTCTATCTCTAGAGATATTTTCTCTCTCTAGAAAATCCTCTCTAAAAATAAAAATTTGTATGCCGTCCCTCGTCCTTGCCTCTACCTTGCCCTTTTCTCATTCGCGATAACTTCCGAACAAAACCTACTGAAACACATTACAGAAAACACAGACAAAACACACCACATCAGCGAACGGCTTAGAGAGAAAGTAGAGAACTGGTTCTGGATTCGTTTTTCATCACCTGCGAGATCTTGTCCCACCTACAATGTATACTTTGTAGCGGACAAGGTAATTTAACATCAATTGAATTCATCACTCTCTACATCTATAATTGCAAATTCATTCCTTTCAGTCATTGAAGCTCCGAATCGAGCTTTTGAAGCAGCGATTTTCGCTTCAATTGGTACCCAAAAAGGAATGATTGCTGAAAAGTATTAGATTTTTTGCTTTTGGATTCTTGAACTTTGTTCAAACTTTTTTTATTTGGTTTCGAAGGATTGCATATATATGTATATATACACACACTTATATTTGAAAGTTAGAGATGTGCTAAGTATGTTTCTGTTGGTTGATTTTCTAGGGTTTACTCTGAAGGTCTCAAATTTCAAATCTTGGAGTGATTAGGGTTACGATCAAGAAGCAGATTAGGAATCTTGGGGTCCATTGGACTTTTATGGGCATGAGCTTCGATCTTTCAAGTGTTCCAGGTGGTGGATTGTGCTGTTGTAGTGTTGCCCTTTTTGGCATTGGAATTTCATCAGAGAGAGTGAGTGGGGAAATCATTTTCTGCATGGAAGAGGATTGCACGTATAGAATTGTGTAGGCTGTGATCAGGAGCTGGGAATTTCTTGTTTGTAGATTAAAGGGTTTAGTTTCTGTTGCTCATAGTAGGGGATGATTTTGGTTATCGGTTTTGATCATAAGGTGGAGGTGATGTTTCTATTTTGGCCGGGCAGGCAAGGCAGAAAATCCGATTGCAGAAAACCCATTTTGTTTCTCAAGAAACCATTTGGATTAACATAGTTTGAGCAAAGTCTGTGCCCCCAAAGAGCATTTTATTCTCTGCTGTAACTGTGTCTGGACGCTAGAGTTTGCAGTAGTAGCACCAGTGTGATATCTAGTAGCTTGGATTAAATTAATTGTGGGTGGTGAGCTTGAATTTTGAATTGAAGTTTAATAACGAATTTGTTCTATCCTTGTAGCTTGGATTAAATTAATTGTGGGTGGTGAGCTTGAATTTTGAATTGAAGTTTAATAACGAATTTGTTCTATCCTTGTAGTTCTTGAACCAAAGGTTACTTATATTTTGTGGGTGTTGGAATTTGTGAGTGCTTGGTGACCGAAAAGTTCATTAAGAATTATTGAAGCTGGAAACGAATGCGGGGACATGGTGCATGGGCAAGATCATTGTTGCTGGTTCGTTCACTTTCTTGAACAGTGCTGCTGGAAAGTAATTGAAGCATTTTTCTTTCTCTTCAGTGCCCATTTGGCTTATTCCAGGATCTTGTGCAATGTCTCGTTGTTATCCATTTCCACCACCAGGATATGAAAAGAAGACTAGAACAGATGATATTGACTTGCTGAAAAAGGTTAATCTCTCTCTCTGTTCTATTTGCTCCCTTCCGTAGTGCCTTCTTTTCTGCAATGCTATAGTATCTATCGAGGGGCTTTTCTTGTCAGAAATGAGTGCCATTGTGTTGTGCACAGCATGTGAGATAAGCTCATTTGGTTTTCAAATTCCACAGGACATTGAAATTCGCCTTAAACAATTTTTTATCTTGTATGAATCAATTTTGAACGTATTATTTAATAGCTTTCCATGATTGCTATGACTGTAGCAGGGTTGGAAAATTATTGTTCACTTTAATTAGCTCGGTGAAAACATTCTGGTTAATAATGTACATTCATTATTTTATATATTTGTCAATTCTTCATGCGTTTGTGTGTGTGTTCCTTTTTTTTTGGTGGTGATTTATTTACTTCCTCATCCGATTTTTAACAGTTTTGGATCAGTGAGCCCAGGGACGGACCTAGAAACTCATGTGAGGGGGGGCAATAATGATTTTTTAAAATTATTTCAGGGGGTCAATGGTAATATTTCATAAGTATATATATCAAAATGACAAATATAGTGGGGCATACTAGTGAAAAAAATAAATTCATGGGGGGCAATTGCCCCCTCTGAGTATATGCTGGGTCCGTGCCTGAGTGAGCCCGTTTTGAGATGGTTGCCTGAGTTAGATAGTTCAAAGGTTAGAAACAGATGAACAAATTTGACTGTTCAATATATCATATATTTGTGAACGCGTTATGCTTTTTAGTTTTTAAATAGCTGTCTGCATGCTAGTTGAGATTTTTGAATGTTGAAGATGAGGAACTCTTGTCAATTTGTCTATATTTTGAAAACTTGAGAAGTTAATACAAATTGATTTGCTGACAAGTGCACAATAATTAGTTCATTTAGTAGAGGCACTTTGTAAGATCAGGATTAGATGATTTTAAATGCTGAATGCCTACATATGGCATATTCATCTTTGACTTTTAGATGCTATATATAAAATACTTGCAAGTGCTGTCCAATGAGGGAACATTTATGGGTTGTTTCTGGACTTCAAAAAGTTCATTGGATTTTGGAATATCTTTTTCCCCATAGCTTTCAAGGGAGGATTAATTATTACTAATTTGTAATTTGCTACTTGATGCACTTTAAAGTTGTCAGGAGCTAAATATATTACAAAGAATTTTTTAAATTTTTTTGGGTTCAGCCCTGATAGTCTGAAGAGCTTGTCATTATAAGCTACATTTTGACATACTTAATATGTTTGTTAGGAAAATGAGGATTGTATGTTGCTGGTAACTTTTGGATCACGGTTGCTAATTTTTTGTTTTGCATGATAGTACTTGTGTAATTGGAAAGAAATTCACCTTGAGTAAGTAATTACAAAATTTATAATGGTGCCAACAAAGAATTTTATATCTGTGATTTAGGCTGTAGGAAAAAAAGTTATGGTGGGGTTTCTTCTACTTTTACAGTCAGAAGTTTTAGCTTTTCTTGATAGAAGCATCTCTGGAGGGGAACATGGTTACTTGAGCGGACCTACAATTTCCTGATCATTATGTGACTACTGTAGGTTTTTTACAACATCTGTGCTATTATAGTTGCTGTAAATATTTGGAACTTTCTTGCATGATCTAGCAATTCTTTGTCACATTCTGTTTTCATAATTTTCTTCCACATTTTGAAGTGTTTCACTGCACATTTTATTTTCTTTTTCTTTTTGCAAGAAGCAATTAATGCAAGTCCTTCTAGTTTGTAGTGTATTTTATTATTGTTAGGTGTATTGACAAAGAGAATGTTGTTAGTTTCATATTACCTATGATGGTCCTAGTTGCTATGGTATTTATTTAAATAGCACTTTGGTTGTGTAAGTGTGATTCTTTCTTGCTGCTCCTTGCTGTAGAGAACCTTAACTAGCCCGAAACCAATTTGATTATCGATAACATCATATTTTATGGTTTATATATCTGGAACTGAAACAAATGGTTTTGTATAAGATTGAAATTTTTACAAAGAGTTACCATTTCTATAATCACTCCTAGTTATAATTTTGAGGTTTCTTTAAATACTTTAAATTTTATCTGATTCCTTTGGTGAAAAATCCCTGACTTTTGTTTCCAAAATGTACTTCTGCTACTCATTTTGATTTTTGATTTGAAAAGTCTGCAGCGGTTGTTGTCTTCATGGCCATAAGTGCCTTGGAAATACTCCAACTAGTTTTTTTGCTTTCAACTTTCGATATGTAAAACTCCAGCCAGTAATTCTCCTACCGATCAAAGGCTTCCATTTGCTAAAGCTACTAAGTTCTTGATGTGGGTTTGTACTTGTAGTACATCGTAGGGATGGTAACGGGATGGCTTTGGGATGGGTTCTCTTAAACCCTACCCTGCCCTGTTTAATAATACTTCCTTCCATACCCATCTCGAATCCGGGATAGGTTTCAATTTCAGATCCCATCCCCGTTTAAAAATAAAGTGCAGGGCCCCGGTCCCCTGTCCCCTGTCCCGACCCACTCAACAGATAATGCTAGCAGAAGAATAGAATACCACTTCTCCAGCTGTTGGTCCTTTAATCGATCACAAGTTGAATGTTGATAGATTTTTTTTTTTTTTTTGGTTCTTCAATGGAAAACTATATATATCTACTGTATATACAGATTTTGAGAAACAACTGTAAAAATACGAAGATTTGGATATATATATATATAATATAGCGAGAGAGTAAGTTATATAGATAACTCAGATCCAAAAGGAGATGAGATCCCTGTTCAATAGCTTGCAGATCATGAAGAGAGAGAACCGGGATGATTGGGTTTTTGATGTGGAGGAGTTGAGATGATTAATGCACTATACAGGAGAAAGGTAGAAAATATGTGATGGAGATTGCCGATCAGCTACTCGTCGTCGGCAAAAATGATCCATGGTGGTATGGGAGTTTCGGGGTGAGGCAGCTCAAATATGAGACTGATATGTTTGTTTCTCAAAAACCCTATTCCTCAAATAAGAGCATATATATAAGGGTGATTGAGTAATATACTAAATAATAAAGGTATAGAGGTATTTATGGAATATAATCGGCGTGGGACGGGGTGGAGCCAGATCAGGTTCAGCTTATTTAACCCAAACCCACCCCTCCTAAATAAAACCTCACCCCATCCATTCCATTAGGGGTGGGTCGGGGTGGACCAGAATGCCATCCCTAGTACATCTTGATGTCTTGTATTTGTGCATATTATTTGAAGCACACTTTTACATTTCTTTGATCTACATAATTAGTTCTCCTGACGTGTTATTAATTAATTTAGTAATTGATATGGCCGGTTGGTGGTCCTTAAGCCATTATTCCCCATCAAACTTTTCCTCTCTTGTTTAGTTGTTTTAGTATCAAAATTTTTGACGTTATAATTAGTTTGGGCTTAGAATTTCTAGGATCCACTGTAAATGATTTTGGATGGAATATATATAAAACAAGATGAGAAATTTGAGTGTCCAAAAATACAGGAAAGATGATGGGTGAAATATTTAGAACTGAATATGTAATGAGAAATATTCCTGTATTTGGTAGAGCAATGTTTGGAATATTTATAAACACTCAAATGTAAAGAGATTGCCAACAGTTTTCAAGAAATATTGTAAATGGCAGTATTTTTTGAACTTTTAAGGGACCATTTTTGTTGTCATCCAACTCTTACATTTATTACTGGGCATGGTTCAAAGTTGTGGTATTAGTCATTCATTTATGGGAACAGAGGGATGACTGGTGTATTGAACCAGTATTAGTTGATATGCAATGAACCATTACTGGAAAAAAATAGAAATAATAATGACAATAGATGGAAAATAAACAGATTACAGTATGTGGCATATATAACATTATCTAAAGGACCAATATAAACAGTACTTTATTTTGAATAGTAAATATTCAGTAGAACCGAAAAAACAAATATAACAATAGGTTCACCAATGACCAATATGAGTGTGAACATTACAATGGCTTTATGCAGAAACTTAAATGAAATCTAACACCAAAATCAGGTTAAGAGTTAAGGAATTCTTGGAACTGCACTCCTAAATTTATTGCAAAAGATGTCTACGCCTCCATTTTAAAAGATTGTAAAACAAGCACCCTGAAAACATTTTGGAAGCCCATTATATGTTGGACTTGGAATTGATTCATCTTATTGATACTCGATGCTTACTCTTATAACCATGTAATTAGTAGTTCAGAATTGCGGTATCAATGCATTCCTTCAGCCATCCCTTTTCAGTTTTAGGATTTCCTTTTCTTGGTATTTAAAAAATTTAGGATTTTATAGATCACTTTTGGGCTATGTTACATGGACTCGGGTACATGTGTCGGACACAGGTATGTATCCATGTGTCGGACGTGTCAAATCTCCAAATAGGAGGATACATGGACACGGCTAAATATTCATTTTATTAATTATTTTATTCTATTTTCTAGAGTGAAGTAATGTTTTTTTATCTAATATAATGTTCAATATAGGCATTTAACTCATTTTAAAGTAATAATATAATATAATTGAATGATTGGAGATGTTTTTTTAGTACATGTCCAACCAAAAATGTCGGGCACATATCCCATACCCATGTCCGAGCAATATGTGTCTGACAAGGGTACTTTACTACTATTGAAGAGTCCATGTAACATAGCTTTTGGGTTTTAAATTGGAAGGATCGGTAGATACCCCTGGGAAATGAAAACACAAAAACATTTAAGAAATGGGATAGGCAGTCCAGATTAAGAAAAAACATTTATGATATGGAGTTTTTTTGAGAAATACTTGTAGGAATTTATAAAAGATGTTAATCAATGGCAAAAAAAACAAAAAAAAAAAGAAGGGAAACCCACGTTTTGGATATTTGATTTACAAATACTATAGCTGTGGAATATATTCCATATACACTTGTGTATCTGAATATGAACAAGTGCACGAGTGTGATATTAGCATATGCATGTGATTCTCGTTATTAATTGCTTACACTTTGAAAATGTGCACGTGTGTGATACTAGCATATGCATAATTGCATATGATGCACGTAATTAGATGCTTACACTCTAAAACTTTGAGCCTCCTTAGAGCAAGCATTGCCAATCTCTGGCGATTAAATTCATTTCAGTTGCAAGTTTTGCGGAATATTTCTAGACAATCACAAATGCCTTTCCCAAATGCCCACTCATTATCATCGTCTTGTAAGCGTATAGCTAGTTTCTAATTATTCTATATTCGTGACAGGTCTTGGCACATATTAAATATTGGAATTGTGTAAAATTCACATTGTTTGAATATCAAATATTTTTTTATCTTTCTTAAAATGAACACAGTACATTTTGGTATATTACCATGTATATAGTTGTTCAATTTTGAAGATCTACCTGCCTTTGTTCTTTCATCGTCAATTTTTGGATTGCCTTATTGCTTGTTGTAGTAACAAAAACTAAGGTTATAAATGACAAGTTATGTATTTACTGATTTAGGTTGCTACATCAGGAAACAGTCTAGAAATGATACCATGTGATGATGCAGAGTGTGAAAATGTCTCTTAAAAATTAATGGGCAGAGTAAAACACATTAGGAATATCTTGCAATGCAGTAAGGGAAATCCAAAAAGTAATAAGATTATATGTGAGTTAGGTATGTGACTCAGTGTTGGCAAATTCCTTCTCAAAACATGTTTTGGATTTTGTCAAAGTGTCGTGAGTCATTTGAGTTCAAGAACATTCATTGAAGACATGCCAGACACACAAATTCGAAGAACATGGCTTGAAGTTCGCATCCTCAAGGACATATCTAGGTTAAGGTAATTTATGATGATAAGAGACCAATTATGACCTAGGTTTAATCTGTAAAAGGCTAAATTTAAGTTTTATTCCTATTTACCAAAATTGGGGTTTTTGATAAAATGATTTTCAAAACAAGAAACTTTTTCAAAACAAGAAACTTTTTCAAAACAATAAACCTCGATCGAATGGTCGATCTATAGAGATTTTTGTAGAAAATTATTTTGAAATTCAGAATGCCTCTATTGATTTGTTGAGTGATTGAAATATGTCCAGTGGTGCTTGATTAAGACTCGATTGAAGCCTGCGTACAAACTATTATGGAAACTCTCTTAAAATAGAATTCTACAAGGATTGTACTTATAATACTATGTCGGTCTCCTATATTGGCTATAAATGTGGGGTCATATTCAGTGTGGGTATATCTCTCACTGGAGCTTTCAACTCTTTGCATATTATTGAGACAATTTATATTTTTAGAGAGAGAGAGCTTTGATAATCAATCTAGGGTTTTTCAAAGATTACCATACTATACGTGATTAAGAGAATCAAAGCAGGGTGCATAATTGAAATTATCTATCAGGGTATCAACCAAGTGGTTCATTAAGAACAAGGACGTCACTAGTTGTGGAGTTCAGAAGTCCATGGAGGAGCAGATTGCATGAGAGTGAGTCTGTCGATCTATCAATGACCAAAGGATCTGGAAAAATCTTGGGTAACTTTGAGTCAGGAGGGACTAGATGATTCTCATATAGTGGATTTTGATTTGTCTGGGTTAGGTCCCCACGTAAAAAATGTTGTGCCTTTGCTTATTTTATTTATTGCTTTATGTGTTTGTGTTAATTGAGACATGTGATTAATTAATTAACTAAAATTTAAACTAGAACCTGTAGTTCAAAAAGTTAGTTGGAAAATAATATCCATGAAGACCTATTCACCCCCACAGATCTAAATCACCGCTCATGTATCAGAGCCTTGGGTAACTGGCCCACATATTCTATCAATTGGTATTAGAGCGGGTTACTCGACATATAGAGTTATGGATCTTAAAAAATAGGCTCGGTTGATTTTATTTATTTTGATAATTATGCTTTCTTTGATAATTTGTTGCTTGATAGTAATTCTAGTTTATCTGACAGTGCTGATAGTAACTGTAATAACTAAAAATCCACATATAAGTATCCAAAAAAAAAAAAAAAAAAAAAAAAATCCACATATATAAGATTATAGACTAAATTGATATGTTCGTGCTCAGTCTAAGATGAGAGAGAAAATTTATGACCGCGATGGCCATTACTTTAACATAATCCTCGTTTCACTCCAACTGTGTTACGCCACGACCAGTACCATTGCGTGGCTGTTACTATTGCTTGAACCTTGCCTAAAGTAACCTCAGTTTGAAGCTGTTTAGAATTGATGCCTCGAAGTGCTGGTTGGTCATCCCATCTACTTTGACCGTATAATTAGGACCTATTTGAATAGACTTATTGTTACATTGCGCTGTTAAAAACAGTGCTTGTTGAAAGTGATCGACCTGAACTCAATAATTCTGTTAAACTTGCAGCGTCTTCCAAAATCAGATTAGGAGTTTCTTATTAGCAATAAAGGCCACGTGTTACCTAAAAAAAAAACAGAAAGCTTCCGTAACTCTGGCTTTAGAAGACCATGTTTTTCCATTGGTTTCCCAAATTCTTTATTGTCTCTGGACTTCAAGGAAATTTTTAGGTCTCTTTTTACCTTGTTCAAGAAATATATGGTTCTTTCTTTAAGCTTAGAGTTTGTTACTCAATCTAAGGCTTTCAAGTTTATTATTTTTCGGAAGAAGTGTACTCTGTTGAGTTGTATTAGCATTCTTCCATTCTGTCTCTCAGATTCTGTTTATTCATTTATTGTATTTATTTATTTATTTTTTTTATTTTTACTTTTATTTTTAGATTTTTAAATTGAGTAATGTTAATAGTCTGTCTGGCACCTGATATTGATGCTTAATTATTTATGATAAAGTGATGCTACATATTTTTTTTGGTAAAGTGATGCTACACTGATGATTGCATGCTTTATTTTGGAATATATGGAAGTTTCAGTTTTTTTTTGTTGTGTTTGAGGAACTCTGATTAAATATCAGATAACTCTGTTTAATTAGCAGTCGAGCTTGTATATGCAGAATCCAATTATATTTATCCTTTGCTAGAGAGATCTTGAACCTAGTTGAACTTTGTGGTGGATACTGGCCAATCAAATTTAAACCTCAACATTTGAGACACACAATTAGATGATGGATTATCAAAGGAAGTTGAGCTTCAGATCATGTTTACTATATGTTCTCTTATTTTGTTTATAGTTTAGTTCTAATTTGGTTTAGGTGACATTTTGCAGCTTTCTTACTTTTCTATATTTGGCACTTGGCAGAGTTGGTAACTTTTGTGTTTCCTGAATTGTCAACTTAGTTAGGTTGATAAAGAAAGGTAGAACTGTCACCCTAATACATAAGTGTATGTAAAAGCCCTAGAGGGGAGGGGTAGAGGAGATGGGGTTGAAGTATTGAAAATGCTTAAATTAACTGTAACTAACTTTTAAAATAACAGTTATATCTGAATGCAATGGTAAAATAACTCACCATCTAATGCAATAAAGAATATGAAAGAGAAATATGCTTAATATGTTTATGTGCTCTATCTGATTCTATATTATTCTCTTTTTGGTGTTTTTCTGTATTTGGATGGCCTTCTCACAATTGGTGTATCAAGGCATTTACAATTAATGGAAAACATTTTGTTACCTTTCACCATTTACTAGTAACTGTAGTTTATAGAAAGAATAGATTTGAGTCTTTGCAGGAGAGGTGCCAGCTTGTGCAGAGTCAAGTTTCTCCCATTCGATTACCTTAACTCAAGAGTTTTAGTGAAAGAATATTTATACACTTAATAGGAAAGCATCGGCTTCAACTAATTATTTATCTATTTATTTACTTTCAGGGCAGGGGTTAATGCAATTAATCTTCTCTTTTTTGTTTTGTCTCGTCTCTTTAATTTTTCCCCTGCTTTGCCTTTTCACCTCTACTCTTAATCTGTTATTTCTAGTTTTTAATATGGAAGTTTGTTTGTTGGAATTGATATGGTGGCATTTAAATTTTTATACACTAGAATTTGGAATTTACAACATGCATGGATAATAAATTTCCCACTATAATGAGTTTTTTCAATGCTATATTTAATGTGTTTTCTCTGGACCTTTAGTGTGTTGTGATTTATGGCTCTTGTATGTTTTTAAGTTGGATACAAACTTAAAGCTTCTTATGAATTTCAGGAGAAGAGCAGAGAGAAAAAGCATAAAAAGGAGAAGAAAGGCAAAGAAAAGAGAGAGAGTAAAGAAACAAGGGAGAAAGATAAAAGTGATGGAGAGCATAGAGATAAGAAAGAGAGAAAGAAAAAGAACCGTGACAAAAAGAAAGAGAAGGAGAAGGAGAAGGACAGGGACAAAGGTAAAGCGAAAACCCGCATCTCAGGGGAGAAGAGAGTTGCCGGACAGTATGAGAATGATGACAAACAGAGGTTTCATCAGGAAGAGAAGAACCAGGATAAAGATAAAAGCAGTGTCTCAAATGAGAAGAAACAGACTATGCAGTTCCAGGGTTACGATAAAGAGAAGCCTATCAAAAATAGCCTTCTGGCCAAAGAGACCGAGGATTCAAGATTCTTGCAGGAGTTGGATAGGAGGATCAGAGATGAAGAAAAGGGTGCCGGAACCCAGTTGGTTGAGAGATTTGCCAGTGGAGATCCAAGAAAGGAAGAGGGGATGGGCAAATTGGTGGTCAAGGATACTGGACGTTTGGTTGAAGAGAAGGAAGAAGACAAGGATAGGAGAGTTGATAATAGAAAGATGGATGGGCGAGAGATGGGCAAATTGGTGGTCAAGGATGGTGGACCTTTGGGTGAGGGGAAGGAAGAAAACAAGGATAGGAGAGTTGATAATAGGAAGATGGATGGGCGAGGAATCAGGTTTGAGACAGGATTTAATGGAATTACGATGGCCCAGAACATCACTGGTATGGTCCAAAATGGAACTGAAGGTATGCCCAGACCAATGGAGAAAAACATTGAGACAAGGATGGAAGGGAAAGAGACGTCCAAAGAGAAAGATGTTAATGATAAAAGCGGCGTTAAAAGGAAGGATAAAAATAGGGAGGAAAAGAGCCAGACGAAGGATAAAGATGTGGAAAAAGAGAAGAAGAAAGCAGAGAAAGTGAAAGAGAAAAGTGAAAACAAGTTTGTAGCGCAGGATAAAGTTAAAGATAGCAACAAGAATGGCCTTATTGATGATACTGCCCATATAAGAAACTTGCATCTTCCCAAGGAGAGTGACAGGACTGCTGCCGCGGTGGGAAATATCAATAAAAGAAACGACCTTGGGACAAATGGATTTTCACATGGTGAGTTCTTTCACATAACTGTGTTATTGCTGTTTAGATATGTTCTAAACAACTGGGGCTAAATGCCATATGCTACTATTCTTCTGAGGCCTCAGAAAACTGTTCTGTTAGCAATTGACTGGCTGCATTTTCCAATATGACATTTAATAAATATTTCCAAGCATGTTCAAATGTGATTAACCTTCTATTATCTGATTATGTTGCTTTCTTTTTGAATTTCCTTACAGCCGACGATGTTAGGCCCAATAAAAAGCCCAGGCCCACTTCTCATCTATCGACAGAAAATGGAAGAAAATTGGAACCTTGCCAAACTTCCATCCTGTTTCCTTCAGATAGACAGGGAACTGCCAATAATTTTAAGTTGGATAGTAAGGAGAGCAAGCGAAATGGTATAACTGAAGTGCAGCCATCCTTCTCTATCTCCTCAGTGGAGGCTTTGTCTGCTGTTAAGCAAGCCAATAAAATTGCAGCAGCATCAAGAAAACCACCCCACCCTGATTCCAAGTATCTGAGTAAGGTACTTTCAGTTCCCAAAATGGAAGAGTGGCTTGATTTTGATGGCCAGGAGTGGCTCTTTAGCAGCAACATCCCCCCATCAAAGAAGCTTGATGAGGGTTCTCTTGGGACGAACGAGATACCACTGGTGTGGGCTGAACCTCTGAAGATGGAGTCAGCTGATGTTTGTGCTCTGCCATATGTCATTCCTTACTAGCATTTAAATGGGGACGATTCAACGCAAAGGACACAGCTATTGCAAAGTAATGGCAACATCGGACTTCTGAGATGGATTACTCTCATTGGCTTTCTGCGTTCTTTTGTTGTTACACTCCTCAGTTGCAGAAAGTATTTTGTGACTGATACCCTGTTTAGAAATTGTTTCCAATGAAATGGTTTCTGTCACTCGGTAGGTTGATGGTGTGTCTTTGCGACGCTAGGGTTAGAGAGTCATTTTTTGCCGCCTTGCACTGAACAGCTAATTCACTCAAATGGGAATTTGCATAAAGACTCAGACTCTCAGAGGCATCATAGGAGAGCTTTGTTTAGGAAGGATGATGTATAAGCTTATGAAATTTTATTTCATTTGCTCAAGGCTGATGTGCTCTTTCTCATTGAGTGTGTGTAAGAAAATCTAGCTGTGGTCCTCTGCATTTCACCAAAATTTTTGATTTTTAACATAGAACTCTTATTTTACCCCCAAAAAAAAAAAAAAAATGTAAGATAAGAGGGAAAAGAAAAAGAGTTAGTTTCCTTCAGTTGATCATCATTTGCTGTAATTATAGTTTTTTGTTCAAATTTCTTTCTGTTATCTGTATAGTGTTGTCTCTTGCTTCTTTATTCTATTTTAGCCCCATTGTTACTTGTTTGCATGGCTGAGTGTTCTTTTGAGTTAAAAATATTTCAGTTTACTCTTCATGGAAGCACCAGATGTCTCTTTTTTCCTTTGAATTTTTTTTTTTTTTTTTTGTTTGTTAATTAACCAATAGCTTGTGAGAGTACATTTTAGGTTGGGAACAATGTTTCTTATTTCTATTTCTTTTTATGTTATAATGGAGGCTAGTTTGTCTCTTGTGGATTCATTTTCTATTTGGTATTATCTAGAGCTCTTTGATACAAAAATTTGTTATATATCAAGTGGTGTTTGGCGATTTAATATATAACAATTTTTTTAATATATTTTTAATTTTTGTCGTTTTTTTTCATTTTCATATATAGACAATTTTTTTTTTTTTTTTTTTTTTTTTTTCATATAAATTATTTATGAATTTGAGCTAATTAGTGATAAATCTTTACCAAGGGACTTTTGTTCCCTATAAATATTGGGTCCTGTATTATTTAGTGGATTGTAGTTAAGTGGACTTCAATTGGTGCATGTGTCATTTAAAGAATATTTGAGCTGAAATTTAAATGGACTGAGTTCAGTTTTAATTAAACAGAGTCCCAAGCTTTAATGAGTTAAACTGTGCTTGAAAATTTTCAAGCCTAACATTTACAAGCAGTGATTAATGACTTTGATATTCTTTTAAGAATTTATGGAACTCCATAAAATAATAATAATAATAATAAATAAAATCAATTCAAAGACATTAAAAGGAGAACAATGTTTGCCTTAGGCCGCATAAGAAGAAAGTTGAAATTTAAGGGAGATCATAGATATGACCATGTGTGTGTACGCACATATAAATATATCAACGATTTTATAAAATTAATTTTTGAAAACCTCTTAACTAGGGGTGATCACGGATCGGATCGGTTCGGTTTGAGGTAAAGTTCAATCCGAACCGATTCTCACGGACTGAAGAAATTTGAAACCGAACCGATCCATGGGAACCTTTAATCCGAACTAAATCGATTCGTGAAATAACGGATTGGATTGGTTTGGGCGGATTGGGCTTTTCAAATAGCCCAATATAATTAGACTTTATGGCCTATTAAAATATCAAATTAGTAATTAAAACTAGAAAAATAAACTAGATTTGGAAATCATATACCAGGTAACATGCTAACAGTAATAATAATAAAATTTGTAAATCATATATCAAATAACAGCAATAGATTTGTAAATTATATACTTAATAATATGCAATATAAATTATCCAAATAAAATAATGAATAAAAAAAATAAAAATACAGTAAGTATATTCAATATTGTATATTGCATATCAGGAAGGCTTTCATGCGGTCCAAAAGAACTGGTTTTTCAGCCTACCAAAAGTCAAATGGTCAATTACAATTTTTTATTTTATCAGACCTAACCATAGTTAACAATTGTTACCTTAATATTCAATTTACCATAGTTAACCTATACCTTTATTCAATCGCTTTCCTCCTCAATTTTTTCCATCTTTGCAATCTCAACCACTATCGCCATATCCATATCATCACAGCCACCATCTCTCTCTTTTTTTTTTGCACTTTGATTTATTTATTTTTTTGCTCTCTTAATTTTTTTCCATTGATGGCCTGACTGTTGCTCTCTTATTTATTTTTTATTTTTTGCTTTCTTAATTTTTTTTCTTCGACCCATTATTCCACAATTAGTAGATAATGGAGTCTCAAACAGAAAACATATATTACTTAATCCTGACATGGAAACAATAAAAGGTTTCCAAATTTGGGTTTTCCGAGACAAAAATAAGAAAAATCTCCAAATTCTGATTTTGGCAATTTTCCCATTTTCATTCCCATTTAAGTTTTCACTCTTTCAAATTTTATCACAAATACAATTAAATATCTAATCTTATCATCCCAATTTTGGAAATAGTTTATGGTATTAGAAAATCCACGTTCAAAATTTTAAAATATGTCAAAAACTATTTCTATTACTTAACCTTTTTTTTTTTTTTTTTAACTTTTTTTTTAGTGATTGAAAATAATCATGTAGAAACTTTTTGGCGAGGCCATGTCAAGTGCACAAAACACACACACACACTCCATTTACCACTTCATAGTTTCTTTAATTTAGATTATCATTAACAAGAACTTTAATACTACATGCCTAGCAATTCATGGCGGTAGTGGTTGAGATTGCAAGGAAAATGGAAAAGATTAAGGAGGAAAGCGATTGAATAAAGGTACAGACTAACTATGGTAAATTGAATATTAAAGTAACAATTTTAACTATGGTTAGGTTTGATAAAGTAAAAAATTGTAATTGACTATTTGACTTTTGGTTCGCTGAAAAACCCTTTCTTTTGGACCGCATGAGAGCCTTCCAGTATATATATATATATATATTATTTAGACAACGGTTCGGATTGGTTTTTTCAGGATTCAATCTGTTAACAGAACTGTGAATAGTGGATTACTATTTTTCTAAATCATCACCGTACTATGAGATCTGAAAACCGAACCAAACCACACGGATCGGATTAGTTCGGACCGAATTGACGGATTATTTGCTCACCCCTACTCTTAACGTTTATTGTAAGAATAAATAAGGACCTCCCCTCAATTGACCATTAATAGAGTGATAAAAATACTAAAATGTCCTTCCTACAATTAAAAAATAAAATTAAAAATCCAATTAACGTAAAATTACTATTATATCCTTCATTTTTGACATTTATATACAAAAGAGAATAGTGTTTTGGGAATCAATAAAGGGTAATTTTAGTATTTATTAAATTTAATCAGTCATATGCCAGGCACATGTCTTTTTAACAATGCATTTTAAACGTTAACAGCCGAAAAGTCCTTCTTTACAACATTTTTAAAATTTTGAGGCAGTTATATACCAAAGTAAAAGGGGTGTTTGTTCAAAAAGTAAACCTCAGGGTCTTTTAGAGACTTAGTCCATATGTTATTATCATTCCATTCCTACACATTTCATATTTACAGCTAAACAATAAAATAAGAATGACCATTTCATTCCATTTTCATTCTCATTTCATTCCCACTTGCATTCCATTCTATTCCTGCACCCTCACAATATTAGGATTTTTAAATACAATAATATATACATACTTTTAACGGGAGAAGATTATGTTCTATGCACGTATTGTGCACAGGAAAATGATGGAAATTAACCCCACATGAAGTGTTATTCCCCACGTACAAACAATGTGAACCACCCCCCCTCTCGGACTATACAAAGAAGATGACCGGAGTTCACTTTTGACGTTTTCATAACTTTTCTTGGTGGTATATATTTTTCGTATTCTCTCTACGTCTTTATTTTCTCTTGTTTCCTGTAAAAGCCAAAAAAAAAAATAGATTTTCTGAAACACTACAGAAGAATATGTAATATTAGGGTTTGAAGGGAAGAAATAATCTTAGGCCTTGATTTAATTAATTTAATCTTGGCCTTTAAATTGTAAAATTAAATCTAGCTTTGACCATTTAAAGATATTTATTTATTTTTATATTTATTTTTTGGCACTTGGTGGGTGTTGATGATGTTAATGTGTGGTACATGCAAATAAAAATTGAAAGTTAGGTGTATTTATTTTGGTTGGTAATTGTCCTGCTAACACAATCAATACATACCAAATGTCATACATATATATTCAATAAATTACATATGTCCATACTTGTCCACTAGCCTATGATATACCAATGAAGTAACAAAGTATTCACACAATAAAATCCTATTGTTCTCTTTTTATTTATTTATCAAATCTCACTTTGAATCAAACATGGACCAATCTACTAACCTAAGCTCCCACTTTGTGGACCACAATAACTTCCCAAAACAACTCCATACACTTATCACATCAAGTAAGGGTTTTAATATCTAACTTAATAACATTATTAGAGACATATAATTACTTATTTGAAATTGTAATTATGATCACAAATTTTAATTTCCATTTCAAGAATAAGATATCCACGTACTTTTGATTCTGTCCTATGCATAGTACGGTCCTGTGCATAGGGAAAGGATGAAAATTAACTCCCATGGAGTGTAATTCCCGCAAACCCCATCTCAAGTAGGGTGAAAGAAAATCCCCTCCTTTAGACAATATATTTGTTCTGTTCAGTTCGGGACGTATTTTACAAACAAATTGGGATATTTATTAAACATTCTAATCTTTTTGTAAGGTGCATTACAAACAAGTCCTACTATTTCACTAAAGATGAGTCAGACCCTACCAGGTAGAGAAAGAAGAGGATTTGAGGTTCACTTTAAACTTTCTCAAAACTTTTTTTTTTTTTGAATAATATTACTAAAGGTTATGTAATATTAGGGCTTTAAGGGAAGAAATAATCTTAAGACTTGATTTCATTAATTTAATATTGGCCTCTAATTTGTAAAACTAAATCTAGCTTGACCATTTAAAGTTTTTATTTTACTTTTTTCTTTTTGGCACTTGGTGTGTGTGTTGATGATATGAATGTGTGCCTTGCAGATAAAAATTGAAAATAAAGTGTATTTATTTTGGGGGATAAAATTGGTAATAGTGCCACATAGGAAGGTCCTACTAACCCATTCAATACATGCCAAATATCATATATATATTGTTGTTTAAATTACACATGTCCGTCCAAACTTGTCACTGGATTATGATATACCAATCAAACAACAAAGTATTCACACATAAATAATATCACTTTGAATCAAACATGGACCAATCTAATGACCTAAGCTCCCACTTTATGGACCACAGTAGAGAGAAATTAAGATGGTAGAAACCATCAACATGGGCCTGTATGTTCTGTCAGTTTTGACATCTAATTTGATGCAACCAATAAGTGGGCAGAACTACCTCACTGGACACCCAATGAAATGCCATTACTTCCTCCAACCGTCTCCTGAACTCTCCATTAAAGACCATCCATGTTGGAGGCTAGCCAAAGGGCTAGTATTTATTC